AAAAAAAAAAAAAAAAAAAAAAAAAAAAAAAAAAAAAAAAAAAAAAAAAAAAAAAAAAAAAAAAAAAAAAAAAAGCATTTGGGATTTGAAACTAAATAAGATTTTTTCAAAACTCTAACTTTAAGCTCTAATCCCTACATACTGTATTAATTTTAGGATAAAAATCGGCTGACAGTAATGTTAGCAGCAAATTCTACGGGTAGTGAAAAGCTCAAGCCTATTGTCATTGGTAAATCTAGAAATCCACATTGCTTTAAAAAGGTTAAGAACCGTGCTGCATTACCTGTAACCTATAAAGATAATGACAATGCATGGATGAAATATGATATTTTTGAAGGATGGATCAAAGATTTAGATTACAGATTCTGAGTCGAAGATAGGAGGGTTTTATTATTAATTGATAATGCAGCATCCCATTTTAAAAAGAATAAAAAAAAAGGAAAAAAGGACCAAGTTGATGGCTGTGTAAGTTGGTTTAAACTTTTTTTTTAAAAAAATTGTAATTAAACAGATCTTTTTAATTGACAAAAAAGGATAATGTAACAAGCGATGGGAATTCCAATCGTGGTCGTGGTCGTGGTCGTGCTTGTGGTCGTGCTCGTGCTCGTGCTCGTGGTCATGCTCGTGGTCGTGCTCGTGGTCGTGGTTGTGGTCACGGTTGTGCTTGTGGTCGCGGTCATAGTCGTAAACTTAGTGAATATAGCTCGGGCAGTAATAGAACAGATGATATGGATATTAGTAATAGTGAAGCAGATAACATGAATGTTAGCAATATTAGTTATGGGTATAATATTTCTTACATCAGGAAAAGTAAATTAGTGCAAATCTGCAAAAATCTGTTAAAATACAGATTTTTGCAGAATTTTTATAAAAAATCTGTAAAATTTTTCAAATTTGAAGTTTTTTACAGAATTGCATTTAATTTTCTCTGGCTATAGCCAGCAGGGTCACAGATTTACACAAATTTTCATTTAATTTATTATTTAATTTTTTGCAATTTTGTGCAGAACTGCACTAAAAAAAATTTCCCGATGTATGGTTATAATAATTGGCAGCATATCTATTCATGTTTATTATGCGTTTATTTGTTATTTTAAGAGTAATATAAAAAAGCTAATATAATTATTATCTCTTATCTTCTTAACTCCTATAACTGTGGCATTTTTCCCACTTGTAACTGTAGCATTTCCCCTGCCAATAACAATAGCAATAGGTAATCAATACTTTTATGTTCTTATTTTTAATTAAAATAAAACATTAAAGGCATTACTAATCTTATTAATTTATTGCTAGTCCTGATCGTGGCAGTGATAATTCTTCTGATAATAGGTAGCATAGATTCTTTTTATGCTCATTTAGTTTAAAGAGAAAATACAATTGATTTTTATTTATCTAATTTTATTTTATTTTTTAGCCGTAATACATCTCCTGACGATAGTATCAGGTAATTAGTATCAAATTATTTATTTATTTTAATTAAATCGGATGAAATTATGAAAAATATTTACTAACCTAATTTTGTTTTTTATTTTCTAGCCCTGTTCGTAACTGTGACAGGTAATTAATGAATTCTTGTTTATTTCAATTAAATTCAATATAAATGAACTTAACTTACTTTTGCTTATTTTTTCTAGCCCTAGCTGTAGCCGTCGTAGCCGTGGTATATCTCCCGAAAATGATAATAGCAATAGGTAATTAATCTTCTAGACTATTTCATTAAAATTTAATCTAAAAAAAATACACATGTGAAGGCTTTCACTAACCTAGCTTTATTTTTTTTAGCCCTTGTGAAGATAAGGGTAGTAATAGGTAATCAATCTATTAATCTTTACCTATTTGATTTAAATCTAATCCAAAAAATATAAAAGCATTTACTACCTTACCTTTACTTTCTATTTACTAGCCCGAGCCGTAGCCGTGGTAGTAGTCATATTCGTAGCCATGATCGTAGCCGTAATCGTAGCCATAATCATAGCCATGATCGTAGCCGTAATCGTAGCCATGGTCGTAGCCGTGATCGTAGCCGTGGTCATAAAAGTAATAGGTAATTAACTTTTTAGTTCATTTTGTTTAAATTTAATTCAAAAAAAACTCTAAATTGTACTATAAATACTGTATTTACTAACCTAATTTTATTTTTTTTTAGCCCTTGTTGTGTTTGTGATGTTTCTCCTGAAGATAATGTTAGTAACAGGTAATTAATCTTTCTAGATTGTTTTAAAAAATTAAAAAAGCATTTACTCAACTTTATTCCTTATTTCTAGCCCTGGTCATAACTGTGATTGTAGCCGTGATATGTCTTCCCTTAATAATAGTAGTAATAGGTAATTAATCTTAAGTATTTTATTTAAATTTAATTTAAGAAACAAAAGTTTTATAGAAAGGTATTTACTAATTTATTAATTTCTAGTCCTGATTACAATTATGTTCATAGCCGTGATAGTTCTGAAACTAGAAATAGGTAATCAATATTTTCTAGATTATTTAAGAGAAAATTGTAAAGGTTTTATTAACATAATTTTTTTCTTATTTTCTAGCCCAGGTTATGAACATAATATGTCTTCTAATAATTGCAATAGGTAATATTTTTTAGATTATTTTAGTCTAAAAAATAATGTTTATCTAATTTTATTTCTTATACTATTTTGGTGATAAACTTGTTGTCTTTAATAATAATAGCAGGTAATTAGTATTGTTTTTCTTTATTTTAATTTAGTCTAAGAAAAATATAAATACTGTATTTACTAACTTTATTTTTGGTACAATTATAATAACAGTATTTCTCCCAATAACAATAATGATAGGTATTAATAATCGTTAAATCATTTTATATTAATTTATAAAAACAGTATAAAAAGAATTACTAATTTAATTTTAATTTCAATTTTTTGAAAATATAGCTCTTTGGGTAATAATAATAACAGGTAATTATAATTAAAATAGATACTAGAATTATATTCAAAAAATTTATTAAATTGAACTTGTGAGGATAACAAAAAAATTAATAAGCTACATTACAAATTCTAATAAATAAAATTTAAATATTTTAGTGTTTATACAGTTGTTTATAAATTGTAGATTATGTATTATAATTTGTTAGTTATTTATGAGATTTATTATTTTTATAACAGTAGATGTAATGAGAGAATTGCTTTAAACTTAAGCAATATTACTCTTCATTTTTTACCACCTTACACAACGGCACACCTTCAACCAATGGATGCTGGCATTATTAACAATTTTAAAGTATGTAAAATTTATATTATTAAACTAGATAATTTTTTAAATTTATATTTAATTGTATAATAATTATATAGCTTAAATATAAAAAATTATATGCTCAAGAATTAATTAAAAGATTCGAATCTAATAAACAAAATAAGTAAGTTATATTAATTAGACTAAATTAAAATTTTATTTATTCGGTATTAACTATAAATTATTATTAGCAAATTAAATGTTTTAGAAGCTATTAACTTTATAGGTGAAGCATGGGATAGTATTACACAACAAACAATTCATAATTGTTGGAAGAAAACAGGTATTTTGCCTAATTCTGATCCATTAATTATCGAAAAAGCAATTGAAGAACAACAAAATTTAGAACAAAACGAAGCAGAAAACTTGCAACAAATTTTAAATTCTGAAGTTATTAATAATATAAATGGGCTTTCTAATTATATTAATAATAATGATGCTGGTTTAACGGAAGAATTGTTAAGTGATAATCAAATTATTGATCTTGTAACTCAATCTGTAACATTAGATAGTAATTCAAGTAATGAAGAACAAGTTTTAATAAGTCATAAAGAAGGATTAGATGCTTTAACTACTTTTATTGAATATTTTAAACAACAAATGGATGCAGAATTTAAAATTGAAGATTTAAATATTTTAAAAAAATATAATAATATTGTTAGAAAAAAATATTCAACAAATATGAAACAAAAAACTTTAGAAAATTTTTTTTAAATTTATAGTTTTATATTAATAAAGATATTTTTTAACAATATTAAATTACAGTTGTAACCGTATCTATTAAGGGTAGATAGGTCGGTGACGATTGTTATGTAAAAACTAAGCAACTTGGGTTTATTTTTC